TAAATCTTGTCGATGTTTTGCAGTTTCATAATGTTTCACTTCGAACAGCAGTAGCTCTAGAGATCTGACCGTCATTACTCGAGGAAAGTGCAGCATGTGTAAGTTTGAATATTCATGTTCCATCTACAAACAGGATGAATTGTATAAGCACGTGTATTTTTCTGCGTATTTACAGTGAGGGAAAAAAGTATTTGATCCCCTGCTGATTTTGTACGTTTGCCCACTGACAAAGAAATGATCAGTCTATAATTTTAATGGTAGGTTTCTTTGAACAGTGAGAGACAGAATAACAACAACAAAATCCAGAAAAACGCATGTCAAAAATGTTATAAATTGATTTGCATTTGAATGAGGGAAATAAGTATTTGACCCCTCTGTAAAACATGACTTTGTACTTGGTGGCAAAACCCTTGTTGGCAATCACAGAGGTCAGACGTTTCTTGTAGTTGGCCACCAGGTTTGCACACATCTCAGGAGGGATTTTGTCCCACTCCTCTTTGCAGAACTTCTCCAAGTTATTAAGGTTTCTAGGCTGACGTTTGGAAACTCGAACCTTCAGCTCCCTCCACAGATTTTCTATGGGATTAAGGTCTGGAGACTGGCTAGGCCACTCCAGTACCTTAATGTGCTTCTTCTTGAGCCACTCCTTTGTTGCCTTGGCCGTGTGTTTTGGGTCATTGTCATGCTGGAATACCCATCCACGACTCATTTTCAATGCCCTAGCTGAGGGAAGGAGGTTCTCACCCAAGATTTGACGGTACATGGCCCTGTCCATCGTCCCTTTGATGCGGTGAAGTTGTCTTGTCCCCTTAGCAGTAAAACACCCCCAAAGCATAATGTTTCCACCTCCATGTTTGGCGGTGGGGATGGTGTTCTTGGGGTCATAGGCAGCATTCCTCCTCCTCCAAACACGGCGAGTTGATTTGATGCCAAAGAGCTCCATTTTGGTCTCATCTAACCACAACACTTTCACCCAGTTGTTCACTGAATCATTCAGATGTTAATTTGCAAACTTCAGACGGGCATGTATATGTGCTTTCTTGAGCAGGGGGACCTTGCGGGCGCTGCAGGATTTCAGTCCTTCACGGTGTAGTGTGTTACCAATTGTTTTCTTGGTGACTATCGTTCCAGCTGCCTTGAAATCATTGATAAGATCCTCCCGTGTAGTTCTGGGCTGATTCCTCACCATTCTCATGATCATTGCAACTCCACGAGGTGAGATCTTGCATGGAGCCCCAGGCCGAGGGAGATTGACAGTTCTTTTGTGTTTCTTCCATTTGCGAATATTCGCACCAACTGTTGTCACCTTCTCACCAAGCTGCTTGGCAATGGTCTTATAGCCCATTCCAGCCTTGTGTAGGTCTACAATCTTGTCCCTGACATCCTTGGAGAGCTCTTTGGTCTGGGCCATGGTGGAGAGTTTGGAATCTGATTGATTGATTGATTGTTTCTGTGGACAGGTGTCTTTTATACAGGTAACAAGCTGAGATTAGGAGCACTCCCTTTAAGAGTGTGCTCCTAATCTCAGCTCGTTATCTGTATAAAAGACACCTGGGAGCCAGAAATCTTTCTGATTGAGAGGGGGTCAAATACTTATTTCCCTCATTAAAATGCAACTCAATTTATAACATTTTTGACATGCGTTTTTCTGGATTTTTTTGTTATTCTGTCTCTCACTGTTCAAATAAACCTACCATTAAATTTATAGACTGATCATTTCTTTGTCAGTGGGCAAACGTACAAAATCAGCAGGGGATCAAATACTTTTTTCCCTCACTGTAGTTAGAATCGACATTGTCATCATCACCGTCGTCGTCCTCTGGTTTGGTGGTCCTTTTACATTCCACAACATCTAGACGTGCACGTTGTTCAGTACATGGGAGACCAGCTGATGGACAAGAACAATTATTACGACTATCCACACAGTACAATTGTGTGAGATATTTGATCTTAATTGGTGCTAGATCCGTGGTAGACGGACTTGGAGTTGTCATCCCCCAACATCCATCCACTGACTACTGGAATTTGAAGAGTTGGTTGAGCCAAGTGGTTTTCTACAAAATATAAAGTTGTCAAAACATTTAATTATTTAAGCCAGGCAGGACCCTCCTACAAAAGGGTATTTAGGCTCAGTGAGGCTTTCCTGGATGATTAAATAATAAAAATGAACCTCACCATGTGTTGTCTTATTGTACTTAACAGACTCTATTCGCTTTTGTGCCTATAACCATATAAAAAGAAATATGGCTGATCTCATCAGATCTCCGAAGCTAAGCAGGTTAGAGCCTGGATAGCGCTTGGATGGGGAACTACCGTGCATGAAGCTGGTGCTAGAGGCTGCGCGTGCTACGCTGTAAGCAGCATACATTCAGATACATAGATTGTTGCACGGTATTTCTAAACTAACATGTATATGCTGCCCGCCTTCAACTCACACTGACCAGCATGGCGAAGAATGGTCAAATCAGTGCCGGCAGGCCCTCATCCCGCAGTGTAAACAGAAACGAGTTGCACATGTAGATCTTAGCAGTATAACGGCACTTTTAATTATGTTGCATCTGTACGATTTCAATCAGTAGCTCATTTGACTCATGGTGTTATTTTCTACTTTTCTCAATGTTTATCCTGAGAGTGATATTGGTGTCCATTCGGATCACTCACGCGGCAGTGCGACCCACCGCGCCAAACTCCCTCCGAGATCCCTCCAGGTGACCTCGAGTTCACACTAGTATGGAGCAGCACTGGCCCACGTTCTCCGCACATGACAGTAGTGTTCCTCGCATGACGATCAACTCGATATTTATCAAATCTTAATTTTGGCCCACCTAACCAAATTTACAACGGGGTGTTTTTGGCGCAGTCATCGGTGACAGAGCTGAGATAATCAACTCACTATTATTTTGATTTAAAGCTTTCGTGACTGCAGTAATTCATATTCTTAGCTCTTTCGGAAAAGTCACGTTGAAGGGAAACAATAAAATAATAACATATTGTTTTATATGTATTTTATTGTTTCCCTTCAACGTGACTTTACCGAAAGAGCTAAGAATATCACTACAATTTACTTGAGAACCCGTAATTACAGGCATCATGCCTTGATTCAAACCCAGGATCTCAGCAATGCCAGCTCATCAGTCTAACCTCTCGGAGCCACCATCCACTTTTTAAAATCTTACTTGTAAAAAATATATATTACTCAATGTCACTGTGTCGGTGTTCCTCACCTGTGATGTATGGCCAGGGTAAGGTCATGCGCCGAGAGAACAGCCGTCGCTATGTGAACGAGGGGGGTGGATGTGGATCGGCTGTTGGTGCTGGAGTGCGTAGGTGTGGTGACTCATTAAACAACAGCGAGAGAGAGATAGAGAGTACTGTGAGGCCGTAAATGTGGGTTGTACGACCTACGATGCGTCGCCCCAGCCTCAAATGAGTCCCTGGTGTGGTGCTGTGTAGTTAACATCGCCACTGGGGAGAAAAAGGTGGCCGGGCGTGGTACTGGCCCCCGACCCCCTCGATGTGCCGTGCCGGTTTTCATAGGTGCTCTCTAACAGCACTTTCCCCCAAAAGTCTGTGTAAGGCTATACGGGGCATTTTTGTCTTTGATCTGTCGCCCTCTCGGGGTAATCGTTTCCAGCTCAACTGCTGGGTCATTGCACTCATGACCTGCACCCTTAAATCTGTCTTCTCCTTTGTCTGCCATTCCGTTGTTACTATATAGCCTTACTGGTAACGTGCCCTGCCTGAGCCCACTTACTCTTCATGTCAAGTCAATGTGCTGTATTTAACCTGCGTGTGTTCTCGAATCCACGTTCACCCCTTTCTACCTCTCCTTTTTCTACCTGCATGAAACTTTCCCTGCTTAATACAAATAAGAACAAAGCTTATTTACATTTGTAAGTTGCATTTCATCCGTAGACTCCAAAGCGTCATGTAGGGAAAGCAGGAAATAAACAGAACCAGGGTCAGCGGTCAGAACTCGGGAATCAAAGGCAATGACTCCGATTGTCTCATTACCAAAGGCAAAGCGTTGTCCCATAGTATATCCTGATTACCCCTGCAGGAACAGAACCTTGATCTTGGAGTCTTTAGAAGAAGGGACCTGATTGTAGTATAACGATGGATCAGTTCCTGCAAATATTGTGGGGCCGCTAACCCATTGAGCGGGTTGTAAGTCAGCAGGAGCTTATTAGTTCAACTCGATACTGAACTGGTAGCCAGTGCAGAGACAAGAGAGAAGGCTTGATGTGCTCACAGTATAAAGGGGCTCAGATCTTTCACAATAACACAATGGAACTCTCAAATACTAGTTCGCTAATAGAAACAGTGACAATGATGCATATATTATTTCCCAAGAATAGTGATAATAAACATATATAAATAGTATGCAAGTTTATGCACAGAGGCTTTTGGCTCAACAAGTGCCAAGCTTTTAACAACGCACGGACGTACACAAGCACAACATTCACACACCTCAATGAACACTCACACGCATATGACAAGAGACTTCATGAAAACTCAACCTTGTTTTTATACTTGGTGTTATCTGGTCAGGATGACCACCGTCAGGGGAACAAGGGTCAGGTTAATGTGGGGGTGTATTTGATAGTTCTGGCCACAACCAACCCCTAACAGCATAATAAAGATTTGTGGGTTAGATCATGTCGAAACCCTCCACCACCCGACACGGCCAATCAGTAAGGGATTTGTCACGTTAACAAAACGCCAAATAGTTACTACTTCAGCCCACCGGTGTGTTGAAGAGTGAATCCACGACAGAATATTCTGGCAAATCGCCCGATGATGCTGGATGTAATTCGCAGCGAAACGTCGTACTCAGATTGTAAATGTTATAGATTAACTCTTCAACACACCGGTGGGCTGAAGTAGTAACTATTTGGCGTTTTGTTTACTTGACAAATCCCTTACTGATTGGCCGTGTCGGGTGGTGGATAGTTTTGACACATTTATACTTACGCGATTTAACCCAAAAACCTTTATCATGGTTTATGGGTGCATGCTATCTCTTTGTGTGGATTCTGTATAATGTACGCACATTTCTGCGTCGGGTCTGTGTAAATATGTGTGCATGTGTGCCTGTCTTTGTGTGTATGGATCTGTGTGCATGTGCCTCTGTATGAATGTTTGTGTCTGTGTTGTGAGTGTATGTGCGTGTATGTGGTCAGTGCATATGTGCAGAGTACTCGTGTGCCTGTTTATTTTTCCACGTATCTCTGCATTTTCGTGTGTACATGTGCATGCGTGTTGGGGAGCGGAAGTGTAGTGGTTAGCGTGCTGCGCTACGAACCCTGGTTTTCCCGGTTCAATTCCCGCTCACAGCCACCACCAACTACGATTATCTGAACCGGTCCCGGACATCCTCTAGGTGGACTCAGTCTCAAGTCAGTACCTCATGCGATGTGTGAATATCGCCAATATGCCATGCTGGCCTTCATGGGTGCTCGTTAACTGCACTTGCTCCTACAGTGTGTTAAGGCTTCACGAGGGATCGTTGTCCTTGTCCTTTGTGAGTATTTGTCCACATGGAAATCGGCGAGCAGGTCGACCACCTGCTCTACACCAGTTTGTTGAGATTGGAATTCCAGTGAGCAGATGCAAATAAAGTCAACCTCTTCTTCTCGTCGTCCGTCCTTCCTCACATCTCTTTGTGGGGAGCTGGACTTTCCATTTGCCTTCCTCTTCTCTGCCCTACTCGTCCTCCGTCCGGCCCTCGTCCTCCTTCCGATGAGTGCGGAGCAGTGGGGCCGGCTCCGTCTGCTGACCCTACGCGTGGGTCTGGGGGCGACGGCGGCGGCGTCGAGGGTCCGGGCGCGTCGGCGAGCAGGGAGTCGCGGAGCCGCCCCAACTCCGCCTGCTCCAAGATCTTGTGCACGAGGAAGCGCTCGCGACGCACGCACGCGCGCACGTGGGACGGCATGTCCGGGATGACGTAGGCAATGAAGGAGTTGGTGAGGAATACGACGTGCTGCGCGCACGCACACGTCGTCGTCGTCACGCGGAAAAAGGATCTTTCGTATTTTATAGAAGCAGGACAGGGTAAGTCCTCGTTTTACGCCGGAAATGCGCTAAACGTGAAAAGTGTCGCGTGAAGACAAAAACGCGTTAAGCGGCGATTTCCAAGTAAACAATGTAATGACGCACGCACAGCGAGATGGCGGGACAAACAGCTGAGGGTACGCCACCGCGTCACTGTATTATTCCACGTACTGTCACTGTACCGCTCAGCCATGCAGCTCAAAAATGAGTTCTTCGTCGACCACTCAGATACCGCGTTATAACGGTGCACGTTCCAGGTTATAACGGAGCACGTTCCACGTTATAACGGTGCACATTCCACGTTATAATGGCGCGCTTTACGGGTTCTGATGGTGCGCATGTTCCAGGTTATAACGGTGCACGTTCCACATTATAACAGTGCACGTTCCGCGTTGTAACGGTGCACGTTCCGCGTTATAACGGTGCACGTTCCGCGTTGTAACGGTGCATGTTCCGCGTTATAACGGTGCACGTTCCGCGTTATAACGGTGCACGTTCCGCGTTATAACAGTGCACGTTCCGCGTTATAACAGTGCACGTTCCACGTTATAACGGTGCACGTTCCGCGTTATAACGGTGCACGTTCCACATTATAACGGTGCACGTTCCGCGTTATAACGGCGCGCTTTACGAGTTCTGATGGTGCGCACGTTCCGCGTTGTGCGAAAAGTGTCCCCTCATGGGAGAACCGCGTTGTAGTGAAAACACGTTGTGTGCCAGTGTTCTGTAAGTTTCTGCAGTCTACACCTTAGTGTTACGAGATAATGCTTCTCTAAAGTTTACGCGCTAATGTCACTCGTCCTTGTAGAGTTTACATTGGTGTCACTCGACCATCTGTCTTTATAGTATGAATAGGTACACCTCAACCAGTGGATCTGAAGGTCGGTGGGCATTCGGTGTGATTAAGTGTGGGTAATCCCACCTCTTACCAAGTCATCTGGCCAGTATGGAAGAGCAAGCCAAATACAATTCATAAGGTCTCTCTTGAGTTCCCTCAAATGGAGGCCATTCTAACAGCAGCAGTGTGAGCAAATAATTGCACGGCTGCACCTTTAACTTTTAAGGGATATGCAAATGTGCACGTGGAGAGACAAAGGCGGCCGGGCGTGGCGTTGGCCACCCACCCCCTCGTGTACCGTTTCGGCCTTCTTAGGTGCTTGCTAACAGCACTTGCCCCAACAGTCTGTTCAGGCTATACAAGGACTCTTTGTGTCTTGTATGCAAATACATACCTCCGTGACAATGACGAAGGCTAGCTTGGCCGCTAGTACGTGCCAGTACTGCATGTTGAGGGAGTATGCCTGAGGATGACCAGGGGGGTAGCGATAATCCCTGTATCTGCACACGTACAAACGCAACCACAAGCAAGGACGCACCCGCTGTACTGAGCAAGGTATATAGCGGTACATTTTTTAAAAGGTACAATTGTGCACATATACGCACACATTTCATTCTCAAATCGGCTTCTGGATAAGGGCCTTCCCACGGCTGTGTGGGGGTTATGTTTGACCACGCTTCAGGGCATTAATCAACTCAGACATGACACCCATAAGAGCAGCACACCCAGAAGTGATGTCACGACGAATAGGAGCGCACCCCCCAAAGTCAGGGAGGGCGCCTAGAGGCAGCCACCTGCAGGTGGTGTGGATCGCCAGGTCGAACCAGGGCGGCAGCTCGTCGGGAATATTCTGCTCCTGGAAGTCGCTGATGTTGAAGACGGAGAGGCTGTTTTCATTGTACCCGCGCATGGTGGGAAAACCCGTGCCATGCCCTGCCGAGTAGCCATAGTAGTACACGAGGCGTGGGATGATGTCCGATGTGAAAGCCACGATGCACACCTGTGGAATTTGCACGTGTACATGCAGCGTCAGCGATGTTACCTAGCTTGCAACGACTAGACCACCCATTCCCAACGTCCATTTCCCCATAAACTCACCCCGAAGTAATTTAATACACCACCGCAAGTACAATTTTGGGGGATGCTGCCACGGCGTTTATGATCAACTCAAGGACTTACAATCCAGAGGTCGCCGGTTTGTTCTCCCGGCATTGCAGTTGATTCAGTGACGCAGTGATGAGCATACTGCGGGATGTCTAAGTTTGATTCCCGGCCACGGATGGAGCGTTGGCACATCAGTTAGGGCAATGGGCTCCGAGCGCAGTGGTTTCCGAGTTCAATACCCAGCCAAGGTTAACATCACTGGTGGGTTGTATATGAATCGGTCTTGGGCCCCCCCGTTAACCCATTCACCAAGTCGCTTAAATTTGTATTAAATATATAAATAGTAAGAGAAGACTATGAGAATCGTGTATGTTTGAACCCAAATTGGTAACAACTCCCTTAACTGCCTGAACCGCCATAACAGCTTTAACAGCCTTAACTGACAGCCTCGCGGCTGTCCATCAACTGCCCCAAGTGACAGCCTTGCGGCTGTCCATCAACTGCCCCAAGTGACAGCCTCGCGGCTGTCCATCAACTGCCCCAAGTGACAGCCTTGCGGCTGTACCACGTCACACCCACGAGCTTACCGAAAGGGAGAGAGAGAGAACGAGTGAAGTGGTGAGCGGACGATCGGTGCGACTCACGTTGGTGAGAACGGACAGGGTGGCCACGACGCCCAAGATGTCCTCCCAGGCCCCGATGCCGCTTGCTCGAGACACGACGGGCCTCCGCGTCTTCGTGACCAGCTTCCAGGCGTCGACGCGCACCTCCATGACATTGTTGAGCAGCGCGAGCAGCGGGGAGAGAGGGAACGATGCTACGAAGAGCGTCACAAATCCGAACTGGATGACTGGGATACAATTGTGGGGGGGGGGGGGAGATATTCAGGAATGATTAAAAGCAAAACCAATGTTCTAATTGGTTCAATGTGATTTTAGTCAAAGGAGTCCTTCAAATATATTGACATTTAAAAAATATACGTGAACTGGGACCCGCGATGGGCCACTTGGGAGACAAGATGGAGACAAGATGCCGTGTGTATTTATCTGCGGCTGCATCATCGCGAGCAGTAGAGTTAATATGCGTACTGTACAGGAATGTCGCGATCAACCGTCAATAGTCGAGCGAACTACCTCTAAATTTGGCGCGAATGGTCAAATTACACGATGGGGAAAACCCGCGATTTCGGTGTATATGCATAGATTTGTGCCTTTAACCAAATAACTCAGAATGCACTCAATCTAAATGGACCTTGGAAGCAAAGTAGGTTTTAGCCTGGATAGTGATTGAATGGGCGATTTCACAACAGTTGTCCTGCCATATCTGCTTTTGTCTAAGATCAAGTGTAGCATATGTTCTTATGTTCTCTGTGTTTAGCTTGTTGTCCTTCCCCCGCACCTAAGATCAGCATGGTTGGCTACGTACCGTGTGAAAGAAGTTCAACATACGGGATAGTGGACAGCGCAGCAAAATCCCTGCCTCTACCAACTCGAAGTTTAATTTAAAAAAATGACACCCAATCATTTTGCTTTCAGTTGAAATTAAGGAGAAAAAAACACACTGGCTCGGCAGGTATGCTCCCGTGAGCTCATTGTACCCATCTCAAGGTACTCGTTGAAGAGCCCGAGCTTGCTCTGTGGTTGCAGGTCCTTGTCCTGCTCCCAGCGCGTGTAGACATCCTGTGGGCGCTGCTTAGCTCGACGCTGGGCCCACCAAGTCATGAACCACCTGTAGATTGGCGAAGAGAGGACACACACACCCAGGCACGCGTAATGCACGCATACGTGCACAAATTCGGTCAGCTGTTCCATAGCTCCTTACCGCGTCTTCAAGCTCCCAGCACGTACAATGAAAAGTCCGACGTTACGCCGAATAACACGTGGTACAGCCCGAAATCCACATCAGGGAGATCTAGAGAACAACTACTCAAAGCCTACGCAGTAGCGATTTAACGGACTCTCCATGTCGGTCACGGGCTTTGCGAGTTCAAAACGATGGAACTGCCTGAATGCAACTTGGCCTAGCAAGTGTCTGTTGGCACGATAAACCCCATTATACCCACATAGTCAGGACAGTTGACTAGGTTTAAAGCTTTCGTGACTGCAAGGATCCATACTCTTTGGTTTTATTCGGTAAAGTCACGTAGGTAAAAAATAAAACAACAAAAATCACGACGTTTCGGCCACAACACAAGCGGCCTTCATCAGGTGAAGGGAGCAGACTGTCTCGAGGACAGCGCTGGAGTGAAACACAGCCACGCTCAGACCGCGACCTTTAAGCTGTGTGCGAGGAAACAAGGTCGCGGTCTGAGCGTGGCTGTGTTTCACTCCAGCGCTGTCCTCGAGAGAGTCTGCTCCCTTCACCTGATGAAGGCCGCTTGTGTTGTGGCCGAAACGTCGTGAATTTTGTTGTTTTATTTTTTACCTACGTGACTTTACCGAATAGAACCAAAGAGTACTGTTGACTAGGGTTAAATGTAGCAGAGTGTGTCTTCAAAGGGACGAAACATAACACACACCCATTTGAGCATTTAAATTAGTAACTAATTCATGATTAATTTTCAGTGGCTATAATTTATTACTGCTGAAAACTGCGTAGTACTGCAGTGTTCTGTTCCTGTCAGTACTTGGCAGCAGTAGGCATACTTGAAGCATCACTCATGCCAGCCAATTTGCAAGCGTGTTCCCGAGCACACTTAAACAATGTGTGGCATCTGGAATGGACGCTGCCCTCATGATTCTAAAGGCGCTACATCAGTTGATCACCTGGTTGTGAGCAGTACCACAGAGGTTTCTCATTTGGTGCTGTAAACCTTTGTGACTTTTATCTCCTGGGCATGGATTAGTGGCAAGTGGTATCTAAACCAGAAGCAGAATCTATATCATAGGACCTCCATTGCCAGTACCAAAGTATGATAATAGGTTTTCCCCTTTTTTCTGGAAACAAAACAGGTGTTAAGATGTTAAAACACCAAACTGAAACCTTTTACAAGGAATCATGTCTGCATTAACCACAATACTTGTGGTCTAACACCATTTGAGACGAGGCTCAAAAGAAAGCTGTCTCTGGAGTGGACCAATCAGTTTCAAGGACAATGCCAATATATTATCAGAGTATGTTTTGTGTTTGCATTCTGACCACAAGCATTGTGGTTAATGCAGACATGATTCCTTGTAAAAGGTTTCAGTTTGGTGTTTTAACATCTTAACACCTCCTCTTTGGGTCTTTCGGTAAAGTCACGTAGATAGAAAAATAATAATAAAAAAATCACGACGTTTCGATCGCAACACAAGCAATCGTCCTCAGGTGAAAAACACAAGCAATTGTCCTCAGGTGAAAAAAAATATTTTTCACCTGAAAATATTTTTCACCTGAGGACGATACCCAATGTGTTGTGATCGAAACATCGTGATTTTGTATTATTATTTTTCTGATCTACGTGACTTTACCGAAAGACCCAACGAGTATGAATTCCTGCAGTCACGAAAGCTTTAAGTCAAGATCTTAACACCTTGTTTTGTTGCCAGAAAAAAGGGGAAAAACCTATTATGCACTCACCAGACTGGTGAGGCATGGTATGGGGAGGATCTCACCCAGCAGCTGATTTACAAAAGAACTGGTGTGGTGATTAAACATCAGCAGTGGAGATACAAAGGCGGCCAAGCGTGTTTCTGGTCACATCACCCACACGTGTGCCGTGCTGGCCTTTGCTTGTCATTTTGTTGACCCAGGCCGCTCTTGCAAATTAAGACTATATCCTGGTCTCTTGAGTTTTCATTTGGTTAAACCAAATAAACTTGAAAATTTCGATTTAAAGCTTTCGTGACTGCAATGATTCATCTTCTTTGGTTCTTTCGGTAAAGTCACGTAGAATGAGAATAAAATAATAAATTGATAAAATAAAATAACACAATAATATTCTCACGACGTTTCGGCCACAACACAAGCGGCCTTCACCTGATGAAGGCCGCTTGTGTTGTGGCCGAAACGTCGTGAGAATATTATTGTGTTATTTTATTTTATCAATTTATTATTTTATTCTCATTCTACGTGACTTTACCGAAAGAACCAAAGAAAACTTGAAAATGTATAGGCACTCGTGAACAGCGCTTGCCCAGGGGATCTTTGTCTTCTTTTTTCTAGAGCTGAGATGATGAGTCGATTAAGTTGACTGTTTGACAAAACAATTAATCGACTACTTTGTTGGTGAATGAGTACATAGGAAACTTAAAAATGGCGGTCACGCAGACATTGTGCCTCCTGAAGGTGGGAAACCCCTGCAAGCTATGGCTGGCATGACACGCCTGAATATGTCAGCAAGCCCTTCTCATCACCTCCCATTGAGTGGCATGCGGAGGAACATATGTGCAACTTTTGTTCGAATTATTATTGTGATTTCCAATGTTCTGAGAGGAGTAATTGATTACTTAAACCAGTGCTCTTCGTTGCAAAGCCCAAGGGCCACTGGCGGCCGCTCGTGGCCTTTAGTGCGGCCCCCGGAAATTCACAAATGTGAAAACACTCCCCGTCATCGCGCTGTCACAAACCCAATGGTTTCAAATGCATCGTGACCCACACACACTGATGATGTCTTATCGGCGAAAGTGCCCCCCTCTCTGAAAATTAGTGAAGAACACTCGCTTAAACGATCAAATATCCCGGCTCAAGCGAAAGCACTACTCACGGGAGGATGATTTCCTGGAAATTGCCCAAGATCTGCTTGACGCCCATGACGATGGTGAGCTGAGTAGTTAGTTCAACGAGACATCCGGCTGGGGAACACTAGATGGATGTAGGGATGTAGAGTAGATTCAGAGCAATCTTAATAATGCTTTCATTTTATATCACGTCCTTCATGCTAATAGCATCCCATAACGATGTACATTAATTATATATACAGTAAGTACCAAATCCCATATACAACCACTACACCAAACAAATGAAAACCCTACTACCAAGTGAACTAAAAAAATAATAAACAAATTAAGAAGTGGCACCAAAACTAAAAAGCACAAACCAAAAAGTTATCACTAAATATTGGCCCATTAATAATTAATAAGCATAACGTCTACAGTACTGTAACATGGCAAACCATTACAAGGGCACTAAAGATATTGAATAGATTTTTAATTATCGTCTTATTTTGTTCAAAAATCTGGTACGAAGGGAAAAACCGGAGGACTCAGAGAAAAATCCACGCAACCACAGGGAGAGAGACATGCAAACTCCAAATATACAACAGGCGTCAGGTTTGGCATCGAACCTACGACCTCCTGTATACCATACTAGGTCGTAAATATCTCACCACCGTGGTGCCCCAATATAGTTTATGTCTCGCAGGCATACATTGCCACACTCCAAAAATGTGGTTGAATGTGACCTAAACAGCATGAAACTACGTGGCCCAACACCACTAACCCACACACCTCCTCGTTTCTCCATACGCCGAGGTACGTATAGTCCCCGGGATAGCTGATGAATTTGCCCTTGAAGAATGCGATGTAGAAGCAAGCGGAGTAGTAGTTGATGAACTGGAAGAGGAATTTCTTGAGTGTCAGCCGATTCTCAAAGTCTACCTGCGTCTTGGGCATCTCTGTGGGCATGAGGCAAAGGTCACACGTGGACACGTGAACCAAACAGGGGTACAAAATGCACATTGACATTTATTTTTGTACTGGTACATAGGCTGAGAAAATTAGTGATGATGTAACATGCAGGATTTGCAACATTGTAGAGTATAACATGTTTAGATAGCCAGTAAACAGCTCAGGAGATGTGGAGTGAATCTCCAAGATGTTCAGAAACATAATCTTTAGTTAGACTGGAGGAATCCGATGACCTATGAAGCTCTTTTTACAGATGTCTAGTAGGGGCGAGAATGGATCAGAGGGACATCCCAATACTTGTATTTTGTATGCCGCTGTTGTACGGAATATGATGTACTCTATATACTTTTTAAAAATACCTGCCGCAGCTGGTGCTGCCATTTTAAGTGTTAACCTATTATGGTTGGTTCTTAGTGAAAACTGCCCATGGGCAATAACTGGTAGATAGGTGCCTCCTTCCAATCATTCACGAGTACTTTCCAAAGATGGTTAAGTATTTTGTTTTAAGCTAGAATGGTAACACATGAAGGGATGCCTGATATTGAACGACAGGTAAAGTGGGCTTCATCAGGACGCGTCGTTAGAAGGGATGTTGGCCAGCAGTAGAGACTAACAAGTGAGTGGCAAGCCAAAGGAGGGTCTAACAGCAGAGAGAATCTCCACTGTGGCCCGGTTGATATATGTGAGCAACCCACGCACACCAATTGAGAGTTTTAATTGCCGTACAGTAGTAGGGGCGCCGTGCTGGCAAAATGTTAACTCCCTCGCCTGGTATACAGCAGCTTGTGGGTTCAATCCCAACCCTGATGCCTGCTGTATATTTGTAGTTTGCATGTTCTCCCCGTGGTCGCGTGGAATCTTCTCTGAGTCCTCCGTTTTTTCCCTCCACATTTAGAATCAACATCATGCATTGAGAGTATTTGGCTGCTATAAATGTCCACATAATAGGCCACTTCGTTGAGCTATCATTTGTGGTCAGGTCGCTTCTGAAAAAGAGCTGCATAGCTCAGTGGGCCTTACCTTTTAAAGTAAAAAAATGTTTAGTTGGGCGGGTGGAGAGGTGTGTGGAGACTAGTGGGGGGGGTGGGGGGGGGCGCTGTTCTAAAAAAAGTTGTCCCCCACTGGCACATACAAATGGACATGGTTAGTTCATGGCATATCACAGCGATGCAACTGCCATCAAAGCCTTTGCACGATTAAACCCAAGATACTGACATGAAACAGTCCCTTAAACAAATATTCCACTTGTATGGCAAGGCAAGCTATTTAAACAGGCGATGATAACAGGCAACCTACAAAAAATATAATTGATCGTATAAATATGTAATAGTGGAATGCTTTGATGATGCCTGCCAGCCGAGTCGCCTTTGAAAAGAGAATCTTATTTATTCAATGGGCTTTAGTCAGGGAATAAACTTCTGATGAAAACCACGATGAAGATGCCACTTACCCAGGTCGGTGAGGACAAGAGCCAGCCTGTCATAGCACTTGTTGAGGATTATGATGACTATGACGTTGAGGACGGAGGCCGTGATGGAGGTGGCCATTTGTGGCGTGAGCAACGTGCCGATCACCTTGATTTCAGACACCTGCTTGGGAATACTCGAGGCAAAGATGATGAAGATGGAGAGGCGGTACACAATGACGCCCAGGATGCTCGCGATGATCAGGAGCATCTGCCAGGAACACGAGGAATCCGGGAGTGGGTGAAGTTGACCCTAGCTTTGCACCTCTTTTTTCCACTGTACAACCAAACCGCACTGGAGCTGTGCCAGGATAGTTCAGGAAGCGCCAGTTTGTTTTTTTTCACTGCAGAACCCGAGCCATGCTGCAGACGTCACACGCAATTAATATATGACGCTGGCACCCCCCCAGTTCGATTGACTGACACAACGTATGGCATTAATGATTAACTCCCCCTCATCTCTGCTTGGCCCCAAGCCAGCTTTAGATGTCTTGTGATGCCAGAGTTTTATTATTTGCTTCTGGCTCGGCATGCCACAGTCAGATTTAGGGCCGGGATCTACGAGGCTGAGACCAAAATCCACAAGCCCAATGCAAGGCCGGAAGCCTTTCAGGTCAAGGCTAGGCTAAAACTAAACTTTTTTTTATTAGATAAGGGCCACTGAGCTATATAGATCTTTTTCAGAAGCGACCAGGCCACAAATGACAGATCAACGAAGTGACTGATCGTGTGGAAATGTATAACAGTCGAATACTCTAAACGCATGTTGATTCTAAATGTGGAGGGAAAATCCGGAGGACCCGGAGAAAAATCGATGCGACCAGACGGAGAACGTGCAAACTCTACATTAACAGGCTTCAGGGTCGGAAGCGAACCCACGACCTCCTGTCTATCAGGCGAGGTAGTTAAGATCTCGGCACTGTGGCACCCCAAATCGTCCTTTGACTACATTTCAGCTTTGAGGATAAGTTATGGCTCATGACAACACAGTAAACGGCGCAACCACAAAGAATCAAAACGTCGCGCCATTCATTGCCTTGGGCCAGCCGTGAATATTTCAGTTGATTGGATTGACAGAGGAATGTAATTATAAAATGATTCAGAGTTCTATACCCTGACATGTCATCGTCATGCAGGGGTTCACCAGGAGTATGAGAGCCATCCCTGATGGCGGAGGACAGTGTGGCTGTTGGGATTGGGTCAAGTACAAATGTACTTGTAAGAGCCGCTTTGTGAATCCACTGCTGGATGACGGCCTCCCTACACCTGTGTGGGTCGTGGGGGTCATGTGCCCATTCTCCAGCATGCCGACAGCACAACTACAGATTTTGCTCCATTGCCCTTTGCTGTCCACCACACAGCCCCGCACACATTGTATACATCACACGCAGCACCCAGGCTTAATGCTGATAAGCGTCCGACATCTGATGAGATTCGAGAGCATTGCAGTTGACTTGGTCATTAGGTTACTGCATCATGAGGATTGGTTCAATGTGATTGTTGCTGCTGGATGGGTGGACTCACCCAGAAGAGTACCGTGACTCCGGACAGACAGTAGCGAAGCCTCAGGGTGGTCTTGGGCACATGGGGCTCCTCCTCCTGTCCTCGCAGTGCACACGCGCAAAGATGGGAGGAGAACCCAGTTTGGATAGGGGAGACCGTCACTTTTACTGTGGTTACTGAGTCGACTCAGCCTCAAATGAGTACCTGGTACGGTGTGTAAACATCGCCACTGGGGAGGCAAAGGCGGTCGGGCTTGGTGCTGGCCACTCACCCTCTGGTGTACCGTGCCGGCCTTCATTGGTGCTGCTCACTAGCAGAACTTGCCCAAAACGTCTGCTAAGGCTGCATGTGGGGGGTCTTTGTCTTTGATTACTGAGTGCACCCGTTAAGGTTGGCTAGACGAGTCGTCCTTTGACTACATTTCAGCTTTAATAATATAAATCTATATACAGGGTGTTTAAAAAATATGGACCCGATTTGAATACTGTTACGTTTCAATTATGGCTTTATTTTTTGGTGATTTGGAAAAGTTTTTTGGTTTGGACATGTTTGTTTTGTTGTAGTACGGAGTTAGACTGATGGCCTTAATTTAAGTTTTTGTGGTTGTTGTTGTTTGACTTGCATCCCACTGGGATTTTTTTGCACACAGCGTTGGTGTACGGTGCTTTTTTCAGGAATATTTTTGCTGTATTTTTTTCCATGGATTTTCTGTTTGCACAGTCACATAGTCACTTTAAGATGTTTTTCTTGTTCGTGTTTTAGTTTTTTTGTTTGTTGTGGTTGCACCCGATTCAAGAGCCGATTGGCTCACAGGGCTATACCAAAATAAACTGAAACTGAAATCGCGATATCTCTGCAACCACGAATCGCCCATGAATTAAACTCTTGCCACTTGAAAGGGCGGGGCACAGAGTTTCAAATGATTACCGCTCGATGCCTATCCCAGCGCACAAACAGCCCCTAGCCTCAGTCATTCGCAAGATGGCAACCCCGGAACATAAGGGGCGTTTTGTATTCTGCAGTTCAGCAAGATTGAATCCGTAATTGCGGTGCAGCGTGCGTTTCAACGGCGTTTTGGCATTGATCCGCCACCACCCAACACCACCCGACAGACCTTGTGTCGGATCAGAATCAGAAAGGGTTTTATTCGCCATGAAAGTTCGCACAGACAAAAAATTTATTTTGGCAGGAAGGCGGGTTTAACGACACATTTATATTTACGCGATCTAACCCAAAAAAACCTGTATTATACGGTACCGTATTGACCGTCTGGAGGAAATAGGTGGGTGGGAACGTGCTGCCCCCTAGTGTATGTTCAGAAGTCACTGAAAGGGATCTTCAGTATTTCTGAAATATCTACTGCAAAAGGACCAATCAAGTTATACGGTACCGTATTGACCGGCTGGAGGAAATAGGCGGGTGGGTGGGAACGTGCTGCCCCCTAGTGTATGTTCAGAAGTCACTGAAAGGGATCTTCAGTATTTCTGAAATATCTACTGCGAAAGGACCAATCTCTAAGGCGGGGTTCATTGATGCACTGCTCTGCGAATGTTCAGAAGACGCCGATAGCACAACCAGAATGCATTTGGCGGAATAGTCCGAAAAGAATGAATAATAAATAAAGTAGAATTGTCCATTCATAATAGAGGTTTTTTGGGGTTAGATCGACAAAATAGAAATGTGTCATTACCCGCCACCACCGGACACAGCCAATTAGTGAAGTTTGTCACGTAAACAGAACATGCCAGATCGTTACTCGTACAGCACACCGGTGTGTTGGAGAGCAAATCAACAACATTACAATCTGAGTACAATGTTTCGCCAGTAATCACCACTAACTTCATCAGGTGACAGTCAGATTTGTGGAGACACATTTATATCTAACAACACATTCGTATCTGCGCGATTTAACAAAAAAAAAACCTATATTATGGAAGATATTGGTCGCGAAAGCCTACGTCTTAAACAGAATTGTAACACTTGCAACTGCACAAGACAGAGGTGTGTGTGATGGGGTGGTCACCGTGGTGATGAAAGAAAGCGTTACCATGGTGACGACGTTGAGCTTCTTGCCGGAGCAGCGAGCCTCGTACTCGGGCCGCGCCGGCCCGGCCTGCGCGGCTGCCGTCAGGTCCCATCGGAATGCAAGCGACGCCTGGGAGCGCTTCCACATCTCCAGGAACACCATGGCTGCCAGGAGGGTTTACTTTCAATAGTCACGTAACTACCGATTATGCTCGATGTTTTAGATGTTTCCTAACGCATTCTGTCATGACTTTTTCAAAGCGCAGTTTGATTAGCACGGGACACCAGGGATCACGACTACTCTGAGCCTTCATTTGTGGTCATTGAATCACTCACGACGTGCCTGATCGGATCTCGGAAACTCAGCAGAATTGAGTCGGGAAATAGCTTGCATTGGTGGTTGCTGCCATGCATTTCAGAAGCAGGAAGACTTCTTCAGAATTCTGTTCAATTCGCCTGAAGGAGCTGGTTGTAATCACCATAGAAACGTCGTACTCAGACTGTAAATGTTGTGAGTTTACTATACAACACACAGGTGTGCTGAAGTAGTAACTGATCGGCACGTTTTGTTTATGTGTCGGGTAGTGGTCGGTTAACAACACATTTATATGTACGCGATCTAACCCCAAAACCTTTATGAATCCTATTGGTCGCGAAAGCCTACGTGTTAATCACGCTAGGTTATTATAATCATCTGCAGGTTGCGCTTTATGGGTGATCAAAGCAGGGCTGCGCAGACAAAACGTCGTTGTGCTGCACCCTTCACCCAACCCTCATCAACCCGCACTCGCCACGTAGTGACGTATGTTCAAATAGCCCCCCAACACCTTAATGGTGTGGGAGAGCCCCCATCGAGCAGTGGATTGACAAATGGGCCAATACATACACGTGGCCGTTGAATAAGGACGTTGCAAGACACGATGGAATGCCGTTCATCACCATCAGCACAAACACGTTGAAATGTGGCACTGTGTCCGTGAAACGTGTGCCAGTGTTCAGCATCACTCACCCCAAAGTCCCATGAACACTGCAAAGAATATGGTGGCCGGGTTGTCAAACATGTAGGAATTCTGCAACAACACAAGCGGAAATGTCACAGTCCCATCTTCGCATCCCCATCTCTTCGATAGCAGTGGCAGCAATGTAATGATGCTGCAGGAAATTAACGAGTCGGATAGATTAATCTCTGGTAGTACGTGCGTAGAATTGTGTAGGTTAAAAGCTGGGGCGTGTGTGTGCTTAACGCCCAGTGGAAGTGGTGGTGGCATCGCGGTGAGCGCACTGCGCTATGAAGCCAACTTCCTGAGTTTGATTCCTGGTCATCGATAGCAATTATCTGACCCGCTCCTGGGCATCTCCCTCGGTCGACTGAGTATTTGGTGTGTCGTGTAAAGACAAAGGCGGTCATGAGTGGCTCTAGCCACACCACCCCCTCGTGTGCCTTTCTGCCCATAATAGGTGCTCGCTGACAGAACTTTCCCCAAGCGTCTGTGCGGCTGGCAGGAGGTTCGTTATAGTTTTTACACCCACGTAAAAAGCGTGGTGTGCTATTATTTAATTATTGCTAATGATGCTACAATCTCAACAAATTTGTAGTTTCTTTTCTCCTGGTGTTGTACAGCGCCAATGACCAACGAGCGTCCCCAATCGACAGAGCGCAGGCAACGCCTGCGGCGTGTGCGGCCACACCTTGGCAGATTCGCAGGTACTGTTCAGCATCCAGAAGGTGCACGTCTTGTCGCACTGGGGGCACATGACCAGGGCCCCGCTCAACGCGTCGTCACACAACTCTTCGCTGCGCTCGCACACGACGCACACAACCGACGCGCGCGTGCGTAAGAGTTGAACGTGGGCGAGCGTCAGCGCCGAACACCGCCTGTGGTTGTCCTCTCCCCCTGGATGTTCGTGCGCCTCCCTTGAAATAAGGTCAGGCCACAGACTTGGTGCCACCTTCTGGCATTTGCCATTGTAATACAGTGCTGATGTGCAGCTAACAGTTTCGTATTCATATTCTTGGTTCTTTCGGTAAAGTCAGGTAGAAGGGAAACAATAAAATAATAAAAATATAAAACAATAAAATTCTCACGACGTTTCGACTGCAACACAAGCAATCATCATCAAATTTTCTTTCCCCTCCTTCCGCACCTTCGATTAGCACGGTTGGCTACCTACGGTGCGAAGGAAGTTCAACTTACATTGTATACATACATACACAGATAGTATACATACACACACAGTATACATACACACATTGTACACATTGTACACATACATACCATTGTATACATACATACACAGCATACATACACACATATACACACATTGACACACATTGAAGATAAAGATCCCCCGTATAGCCTTAACAGACTGTAGGGGCAAGTGCTGTTAGCGAGCACCTATGAAGGCCAGAACGGTACACTAGGCGGTGGGTGGCCAGCACCACGTCCGACCGCCTTTGTCTCTCCAGTGGCAATGTTTTTATCCACCGCACCAGGCACTCATTTGAGGCTGAGTCGACCTAGGGGAGGCCCAGGACCGTTACAGATAATCATCACTGGGTGTTGGCCGTGAGCAGGAATCGAACTCGGGTCGCCAGGTTCATAGCGCAGCGCGCTAACCGCTACACTATCGTTCCCCCAATACACATTGTATACATACATACACACATACACACATTGTATACATACATCAACAACAACCGCCATTCGCCACTAAGTAGCGGTGACGTCACCACGACGCTTGTGCCAGGCCATGTGCACATTGAGGCCACGTGGAGTGTCGAACGCCCGCTGGCAGGAGGTCACGGGGCAGACCCAGGTGCCACGGGTCGACTGACTGAGATGACTGGCTGATGCACCACTTGTGCCCCCTACTGTGCCAACCTGCTGTGCTTTAGCCACCCGGCGCTCCGCTCGTTGTTGTGAGCGTCGCTCCTCCGACCTCCGTTGTTGTTGGAGGACGACTGCCTCCAGTAGCGTCCTTCACGAGCCTCCTCCACATACATGCACTGTATACATACATACAATGTGTGTATACATATGTGTATACACACATTGTACACATACATACACACATTGTATACATACATACACACATACACATATTGTACACATACACACATTGTACACTTACATACACACATTGTATACATACACACATTGCACACATACACATATTGTACACATACACACATTGTATACATACACACATTGTACACATACATACACACATACACACATTGTACACATACACACATTGTACACATACACACATTGTACACATACATACACACATTGTATTAATGTGTAGGGGTATTAAGCGCGATGCGTTATGCACTCAGCCGGTAGTACCGCCACGTGTCAATAGGGGGCGGAAGAGGGCTGAGCCCCAGTGTGAAGGGAGAATGGCACACGGGGCCTAACGGAAACCCCTAAGGAACGGCATGCCAAGTGGTGCAGACCCCAAGAGGGGGCCTGGGGGATGACGTCACCCCCAGGCCCTGCTGGAAGGATCGAGAAGAAAGGTGTGGCCGGGGGCGGAGTCAGCCATGGCCCTGTATAAAAGTCGAACCTCTGAACGGTCCTGGGACTTGTCCTCCGCCTGAAGTTGAAGAGCATCCTGAAGACTCGAAGATAAGAGCCCAAGGGGCAGAGCCGGACCCGGGCTAGGGTCGGCTTAAGCTTCACCAGTGAAGACGCATGCTTCACCAGTGTAGGGTTAGAACGGTGCCAGAGAGAGGCACTCTCGCCCGGAGGAGATACCTCCTTAGCGTATTGGGTGGAAGTGGCCGTTACCCCTTTGTGTTACATAGTTAATGTTATAATAAACGTGTTGCCTCAAAAAAAGGTTTCCTCCCGTGTGTACCCTCGACACATGCATTATATGTATGTGCATTTTGTACGTCTAGTGTGGAAAAGTTAAAGGTGCAGCCTTTAAATTGCTTGCTCAACGTCACTGCTCCTGGAAAGACCTCCACCCGAGCAGAGAAAATAAAGAGCCCTTCTAGAGGGATATTAGGCCTACCCTTCCACGCTGGCTAGACATCTTGTAAGAGGTGATCACTTTACCACACCACACACGACATGCCAACGCATAGCCATGGCGTCTCCATGTATTGCACACTGCTTGGCAAACATAGCCGGGGAGCGAGAAATGTTGCCCATTGTTTCAAGTGCCATGCTGGAAATGTAACCAGCGACCTCTGGATTATAACCCCAGTGTCCTGACAGTTACACCACGGCAGCATTCCATTAAATTATAAATAAACATACATTACATAATATGTATGTTGCATATGTACGTGTACATGTACGCTTAGTAGGTGCTTGCTGACATTTCACAGTGCGTATTGCCACGCAGGAGATCTGTACCCTTGTATTCTGCACCCGTGCGTGTACATGGGCGTGCGTGCTTGCATGCGTTTGATAATGCGCGCGTGTTTGGCTAATACTTAGAGAAGCTTTGCTCTTTGTTAACTGCTCCGAAGAGGAAGCACGCGAGGCCAACGAGCGCCGCAACGCTCAGCATCTTCGTGTAGAAGCCGAGCCACGCGAAGTACAGAGCCACCTGCTCGCCAAAGTACGAGCTGTGCCGGCGACAAAAGACAAAGATCCCCCTTATAGCCTTAACAGACTTTCGGAGTAAGTGCTGTTAGCGAGTAGCACCTCTGAAGGCCGGCACGGCACACGAGGGGGTGGCATGGCCAGAATCATGTCCGGCTGCCTTTGTCCCTCCAATGGCGATGTTCACACACCGCACCGGGTATACATTTGAGGCTGAGTCCACCTAGGGCAGGCCCAGGATTGGTTCAGATAATCGTCACTGGGTTTGACCTTGAACGGGAATTGAACTGGGGTCGCCAAGTTTGTAGCGCAGTGCGCTGACCACTGCGCTACCGCTCCTGTGCCGGAAAAATCAATATACCCGCTGTTTATGAACATTATCTTGAGATGCAATTGTATTTAGATGAATAATAAAACCGATTCCCATTACACGCTCTTCTAATATACAAACGTCACACACTAAACGAATCAAACAATACAATTTAAATGCATCTAATTTTGAATTTAATCTTGACTCTGAAGAGAGGTGGGCCCACGTCCCCAAAATGGATTTTGATGATGGTCGTTGGTCGAGACTAAGCTACACTGTGGCCGTCACGAGAGAGGGCGACGGCATTGAGAGGCCTTCACCCAGCAGTGGATAGTGCGTGACCTCACCGCACAAGATCGAGAGGCTGCTCCTTGAAGAAGCGCCTGGGTCTCGCCCACTCGCGCCACAAGGTGTTGCGGTCGCCCCGACTGCTCGAGTCCTCTGGCGGGTACTCGTACTGACTCTGACACGAGAATCACAATCACTAACCACACCTCCGATTAGCAGCACCGTTGGCTACGTACGGTGCGAAAGACGTTGTACATGCATACATAAACATGGGCACACGGTGCACACACATTCACTAATGACCAACTCACCCCCCACTGCCCGCCACTAAGCCCTGGCCGTGGAGGCATGGTTAGCGCAATGGACTGGAAATGCAGAGGTGGCCGGTTCGGTCTACTGGTGTGGGAGTTGAAACGATGGAGCAAGTTTCTTTGATCACCAACGCAGATCTGTCCACCCGGCGGTATAAATGGGCCCTCCTCAGGTAGTCAATTGGCAGGTATTGTGGGTAGAGCAGGATGGAGATATATTTGAAGGGCTCTCTAAATAATAATGATAATAATGCGATTTATAACTTGCACAAATATTTCACGGGCATCAATGACTGGGACCCTAAGGCACAGCTGCAGTGGTGAGCGAGTACAGTAAGTCCTTGTCGAACGCGGTAGTAGATGCCTTCCTGAAAAGTGCCGTGTTCGGTGAAATATACGTTCAGTCAAAACAAGTTCTCCATAGGTAATGATAAAGTTTGGCAAGATACGATGTACTACTACTCACACAGTGAGATGGCGGGACAAATAACTGAGGGTTCGCCACCGTGTTACTATATCACTCCACGTACCATATCACTGTACCACTCAGCCATGCAGCTCAAAAAGTACTGCTCAGAAACCGCGTTATAACGAGGCGCGCTCTGCGTTATAACAGTGCGTGTTCCGTGTTGTGCGAAAAGTGTTCCCCAATGGAACCAGCCAACGCTAAATTTTGATGTAAAGCTTTCGTGACTGCAGAGATTCATATTCTTAGTTATTTCGGTAAAGTCACGTAGAAGGGAATTTTATTGTTTTATATTTGTATTATTTTATTGTTTCCCTTCTACGTGACTTTACCAAAAGAACCAAGAATATACAGCCAACCCTAGTCGCATGGCCTTGTTTAACCACCACCACCGCCGACTCCCGACTCACATCGTGCAGTGGGTAGGCAACGGTGTAGCAGCCATTGTCCATCATCTGGTTATAGTTGAACGTCTTTTTACTGTCCTGCGAGACGCCACACTGGAGCAGCATGTAGTGCACCTGCATGAGCACGCATAATACACAGTGCTGTGTGAGCCATGGATTACAGTTTCCTCTGTGTATTGTGTCTACAGGGGTTGACAGAGGAGTAAAAAGGGCCAATATCAGAACGAGATCGGTCATTCTCGGTTTTATTTATTGAGTGGGCATAGGCCTGGCTCACGGAGATAGCGGCTTCTAGCTCACCACGTGCCCTGGTTGAGCCTCCCGGAAATTTGAATGCTTTCCCCTCAGGACCACATCTTAACCTGACCCCTAAATCCTAACCTCGGGCAAACTTGATACGTGTTGTACGTACGATTTGGCTACGTATGGCTGGCGGGATGAGGACTTCGTGGTCTGTGATGGAGTAGAAGTCCTGCTGCGAATGCTTGAACGGAGACGTGAAGTATTCAGGTTCTTCAGGCACGGCTCCTGGCTTCAGGCGGAATGGCTTGCTCAGGTAGTCCAGAAGTCCATGCTGTGAGCGCGACCCCCGGGTGAGGTCGCTCTCTTTGAGTGGCACCTGTTCGATTGTTAAATCGGTTAAATCATTTGCTTTGAGCACGTGGCATGATAATGCGTCTGTTTTACATTTCATCATTGTAATCATTATCAGCCACGATCAATCTACTGCCACTGAAGATCTCAGTGTCAGTGGTATCTGCCACGGCCGTACGTTACCGCAATGCATCTGCCAACCACTTACTCCTCTGCCTCCATGCCAAATACTCACGTAGTCTCACCCTTGCCTCTATGTACGTATGTTGACCTTCTTTCGCACCGTATGTAGCTAACCGTGGTAATCAGAGGTACAGGGGAAGGACAAAAAACTAACCAGAAAAGGCACTTCTAAAGAAATGAGTTTTCAGTCTAGATTTAAAAGTGCATAGCGCCATTGGCTTCCATAATATCGGAAGGGAGAGCGTTCCAGATGCACATCTGAAAGCGTGCGATGCAGTAACCATCTTTGTTAAATGGTGAACCAAAAGTTGCTGCGAAGATGACCGGAGTTCGCATGATGGTTTATGCTCCTTAACGAGATGCTCCTATCATGGGCACCTGCACATGAGCCAGTCTCATCTTAACATCACTCTGATGGACATCCATTTGGGAGTGGTCTCTCTGTTAGTTGCCACTCAACCTTTAGTCTCGGCCAGTAACCATCGCCCCTTCTACGAATGTGTTCTGCCCTCGCCCACTAACTTTCATGAACAGCCAACGTGATGTTTCTAATGTTCGTATTCTTTCTAAGCTATGTATTTCTCTTTCCAGATAAATCTATTTCGATGTCCCAAAATGCGGTACGTTTATTATCATCATCATCGTAACAATTATGATCATAATAACATCATCACAATCATCAGAAGCAGAATTATATACTTTTTCCATTTGTACTTACATACTTTATCTATTTAACGTGTTTATTTTTAGTGCTTTGATTAGCTCTCCTTTGCTTTGCACTCCAATCGTATTTTGTACTGTTTGTTGTTGTAACGTTCTAATCCATCCCCACTGGACATCTGTGAAAAAGAGCTTCATAGCTCATTCGATTTCTCCAGGATAAATAAAGATTCTGATTCTCATGAATCGTCATAATCAAAATCGTCTTGATCATCATCACAACGAATCTCCACCCAAGGCGGCGGAGACTATTAACAGAGAATACACATCGACAATACAATAAGTTATTGCGAGTCAATTTATTATCACATATTCCTGAGTCACGAGGACGTATATAAGCAGTAGCAAAGCCTCAGCGGGCCTGAGGATGTCAACAACGTGGGAGGCGAAACGTTATTATCACCATCATCAGCTGCACAATCATCGCAACCATCGTCCCATTCATCATCAATCATTATCACAAACATCAGAAATAGTACCGCAATCACCATCGCGATCGTCGTAACAATCATCGTAACAATCATCGTCGGCGCCTTGCCTGAATGTGCAGGATCTCGGCGTAGGTGCTCAGCGAGGCCCACGGCGCGTGCACCTTCACGTAGGTGGTGCGTCCGCTCACTGACTCCTGGTGAACGACGTACTGAGGTCAGCCTCAAAACTCGACATCGGTGCACGTGGCTTGCCGCGGTCGTGCCGTATAAAGCCCAACTACAGGGCTAATTCAGGTTCGGGGTACGTGGAGTTCGAGTTGTCTCTTTCTCCGTGGTCGTGTGGATTTTTTTCCAGGTCCTCCGGTTTTCCCCTCCACATTTAGGATCAACATCACGCGTTTAGAGTATTTGGCTGCTATAAATGTCCACGCGATAAGCCCACTTCGTTGAGCTATCATTTATGGTCAAGTCGCTTCTAAAAAAGAGCTGTATAGGTCAGTGGACCTTGCCTGGTAATAAAACAAATAGTAGTATTCACTTTCTAAATAAAACCGCGTTACTGTCTTAGAGAGCAAACGTAGCCTATTTGATTTATATTGCTTATTGTATCACAATTGAAAGCTATGTAAAAGAAATGCGAAGAGGAAACGAGACTAAAACTCCTCAAAATCACAATCCATTTCCGGAATACGCAATCCAAGGCTATAGTAAACGTTAAAGTCCTCATGAAAAAGTGCGTTCACACAACGCGTTTTAGCTATAACTTGGTTCTTCCATTTTTGGAACACTTTTTGCGTATAACACAGAACACGCCTGTTATAATGCGGAACGTGCCCGTTATAACGCGGTTTCAGAGCGGTTGACGATGAACTACTTCCTTGAGCTGCGCGGATGAGCGGTACGATATAGTACGCGGAATGGTACGGTAACGCGGCTTTTTCGTACCCGCAGTGATTTGTCCCACCATTTATATGTGTGTGTACATCGCATGTCTCCCAACTTTATCTTGACATTATTGATGGGGAAATTGGTTTTCACTTAGCACGTTTTTCGCTTCACGTGGCACTTTTCAGGAACCCATGTACCATGTTCAACGTGGACTTACTGTACTGTATTTATAATATTGAGCTCAGAGACAAAGGCAACATACCTCCTTGGGCTCCATCTCCAGCTCCAGACCCATCTTCATTAGACTCGCCTGATACTTGGACCTCTTCTCCTACCAAACAAAGTTCGGCACTTGATGTTATACCACGTCTTATGTGATATCAAAAACCACGTTCTCTTGTCACTGTGAGAGTCAAGAGGTGAATACATTTCCTATACTCCGAGTCACCAGAGTATCACACTGCAATCACACCTAACAACGTTCGTGGAACGTAACATCACTAAACTACTTCAATACTACCTATGTGGAGAGACAGGTGCATGAAGGAGAGTTATATATGTGAAGAAGACATGTTCTATTTATCAACTTTGTTTTTTTTTCCGCAATAACTCCAATTCTTATTTGGAGTTATGTGTGATAGAATTTTGAATCGAACTTAGACTTATATCTTTAAGAGAGGACCCGAGCCTTTAACGTCTGGCAGTTCACCAGCATTGACTCATGCAACCTTAACTATGCTTCCCTCCACTGTGTCGACCAGGGATCACGATATCGGAGGTAGTCCTGTGATATACACTTCCGCGGGCTGTTCTTTAACACATGACGGAATGCATCTGGAATATTTTAGTTTCCATCTAATGACATGTCACTGACAGCACAATTGGGATAAAACTGGGCGGGGGGGGGGGAACTAAAACTATAACAACTAAGTGTTAGATTCAGAGAGAGGGTTTGGTGGGTGCAAGTTACTGATTGGGTGATGGTGTCTGGATGCGTGTGCTGTCGGATATGGGAGGGAGGGAGGTGGTAACGATGGGAGCAGGCAGTCTCACCTGATTCTTGATGTCCCCCTGAGAATTATTCTCATCGTCGTAAGCGAGAATGAAGTCGATTCTACGGATCCCATCGCGGAAGTAGACAGTGTCCTTTTGGAGAGGCAAAAAAGGACCCTAAAATACAAAAAGACAAATATCCCCCAAATAGCCTCAACAGACGGTTGTGGCAAGTGCTGTTAGCGAGCACCTATGAAGGCAGGCATGGCGCACGAGGGGGTAGGTGCCCAGCACCACACCCGACCGCCTTTGACTCCTCAGTTGTGATGTTTACACTTCACACCAGGTACTCATTTGAGGCTGAGTCGACCTAGGGGAAGCCCAGGACCGGTTCAGATAATCGTCACTAGTGTTGGCCGTGAGCGCAGCGCGTTAACCGCTGCACTACCGCTCCATACGCCCTTAAACACAAGCACACACATACACACATGCCGTGTGATATGAATGCGGCTTACACACCCAACGAGGCCACGGGCTCACTTGTAGCTTCACCTTCAAACATAAATGTACTTATAAACATTACGAAAAACCCGCATCTCTCTCAAGTACATCAACAAAAGTCACAGAATCAGCAATAATCTTTCACCTAAAGGCATTATAACATTGGAGTATTATTCCCTCATCACAAAGACTCCATGATCTATTGTACTTTCATTACTCCCGATCTCAATCTCCAATAACACTGCTACTGTGGTTCTGTATTACGGATAAATGGCATGGTTTCTGAACGGCAATATATTCCACGAAGTTAGCCGTGTAATTTGTATGATGTGCAGTATACACAGGCTCCCCATGTCACTCACAATGGAATGTTATAACCATATTAAAATATAATCATAATAATAACACGCTGCACCTCGCAGGGCCAACTCTGTAGCCTTACAATAAAAAATAAGAGTCAAAGTTTCGGGCAATGGTTCTTCTTCTTCATCACCAATGTGGACGCAGCGCATCTCGAGATGTTTCTTTAATGAAATCACACGTCGGCATCATTACATCGTACCCGTGGCAGGGAAGATTGAGATGACGGCAGGTCTTGAGGCAACTTTACAGGCACAACCTCCTTCTGCTCCGCCTCTCTCTCCCCCTGCTCCTCACTCACAATGTCTGCTCCCTCATTCACGACGCCCACGTTGGTCAGTCCGCGATCTTGGTCAAGCGATGTGGGCAGTAGCAGAGGGTCCGGTGCATTCGGGGCAGGGGAGACAGGGCAGGTATGGGAAAAGAGAATGGGCGGTAAAATCACCACACCAGGTACTCATTTGTAATGCTTTATGAGCCTGAAATGGATTATGTGTAGCGGACACTCTCCTCACGACATGGCGAGACAGGTCAGGGCTCCAGTCCGTTCATTGCACCTCCGTTACACACACAGCTCCTTCCTTCATCCACAGTTCTCTCCACGCACAGCTCCCTCCTTCACCCACAGCTCTCTCCTCTCGTCCCTCCTCCGAAATGCTTTCTTATCCCCACGGTCCCCTCTCCCATTCTCTCCCCCACCCTCCATACCTGTCACCTCATCGCTCTCCACCAAGCACAGATCGTCACACTTCGGGGTCACTTAGGTCAAGTAGACACAGAGATCGACTTCAGCGTCGAGGGGGAATGATGATGTGGGAGCCGTTATGGAGCACCGTCACAAATACCCTCGCTCTGTTTGTCGAGCTGTCCGTAAATGTGTGGGAGGAAGAGGGGCGGTGAAGGGGGCTGTATGAGGGTTCAGTGGACAGGGAATGGGAATCTGAGAGAGTGACGTGAGGTCAGAGGAAAATGTAAGTTATATATCTGATATAGGGATGACGTATGTATATTGAACCTTTTCCGCACCATACGTAACCAACCGTGATAATAGGAGGTGCGGGGGAAGGACAACAAACATGAGTGGACGTGTGTCTTGCACTAATCTGTTAGCTGTTAGGGATCTCCTCTCTTGAATACTGAAGACAACGTGTGGTTGTGCTGCTGCTGCTGCTGGCTGCGTTAGTAGTAGTGGTGCAAAAGCACAAATAACAACACAGACTCAAAACATTGGTCAAAAAAACTGTGGCCTTAAAAGGTACGTATATATTTTGTATAGATAAAGTAGTAGGCAACGTTGCGTTAATGACCTTTCTTATTAGTACATTAAATGCAAATATTTCTTATTTTATTGCAACATATCTGAATATTATTAAAATAGTGTTATTGACGAATGTGATGAGTTTGTTGTTGTTGCAGCGCAGCATCATGCTGGTGACTCGAGGTCAGAGCCGCAGTGACTCGTCTCGTCACCCGATGTTGTTATTCAACGGAGCTACTTTGGTTCTAAGTGGAGAGCAGATGTCGCCGTGGTGGCGTCGCTACGACTGGAGCTTTAAAAACCTTAACCTGTCCTAGAACGTTGCCCAGAGCAGGTTCGAATACCATTGCAACTGTGCAGTAAGACAAAGATCCCCCGTATAGCCTAAGCGAACTGTTGGCTCAAATGCTGTCAGCGAGCGCCTGTGAAGGCCGGAATGCCACACGACGGGGTGTGTAGCCAGGACCACATCCGGCCGCCTTTGTCTCCCTCGCGGCGATGTTCACACACTCCATCAGCTACTCATTTGAGGTTGAGTCGACCTACGGGAGCCCAGGACTGGTTCAGATAATCGTCACTGATGTTGGCCATGAGCGAGAATTTAACTCGAGACGCCGGGTTTGTAACGGAGCGCGCCAACCATATACACTGCCGATCCCCACTAGCATACATCAAAATAAAGATCCTCCGTATTGCCGAAACAGACTGTTAGGGCAAGCGCTGTTATCGAGCACCTATGAAGGCCGGCACGACACACGAGGGGGTGGGTGACCAACACCACGCTCTGCCGCCTTTGTCTCCCTCGTGGCGAAGTTTACACATCGCACCAGGTACTCATTCGAGGCTGAGTCGACCTAGGGGAGGCGCAGGACCGGTTCTAATAATCGTCACTGGTGTTGGCCGTGAGCAGAAATCGAACTCGCTACATACCGCTCCACCGCATACACTAGCATACATACATACACTAGCATACAAAGACAAAGATCCCCTATATAGCCTTAACAGACTGTAGGGGCAAGTGCTGTTAGCGAGCACCTATGAAGGCCAGAACGGTACACGAGGGGGTGGGTGGCCAGCACCACGCCCGACCGTCTTTGTCTCCCAAGTGGCAATGTTTACACACCGCACCAGGTACTCATTTGAGGCTGAGTCGACCTATGGGAGGCCCGGGACCGGTTCAGATAATCCTCACTGGTGTTGGCCGTGAGCGGGAATCGAACCCGGGTGGCCAGGTTCATAGCGCAGCGCGCTAACCGCTACACTATCGCTCCCCCCTAGCATACATACATTGACACACACATACACTAGCATACATACATGCACACCTACACATACGCGCGATGTGAGTGGCGCGTGACGATCCCGCGCACTTACTGTGCACCAGCACGCCGTCGTCGGAGTCTCCGTCGAGAATCCTCTCCGTGCTCATTCTGGCCCCGCTTCTCTGCAGCCTCAGTCCCAGCTCGATAGTTCACTGGGACCGCCTGCCATCCCCCGGGCATTCAACAAAGCAAACAAATTCGCTCCGAGACGTTACTTCGATATGTTGCGGGCGCAATGTGAATGCAAGTGCTACGGTGATAGATTGCAACATAACGTGTCAATGCATTCCTGTGTTCATTCCTTTGACTTCCAAGTTATTTACAACGGAACAACATCGGGCAGTGTGGCTCGCGCCCGTCACTTTTCTCGAGGAAATCCAACGGACTCCTCCTCCTCCTCCTCCCCATCCCCACCCTCAAGCTCTCCCTCGCTCCCCCTGCATGCCTCCCCGGAATTCCCCCACGCCACCCATCCCTTTCCCCAACGCGCATCGACGCACCTAATCATTCCTACGCGCGCACTCACTCCCACCTATGCACGGTACTCACTCACACCTAATGTACTCCCTATTAAAATTATGCTGTGTTATGGCAGCAAATGTGTTCATGAGCTGAATGTCAACATCGAGGTCTGCTGCTCGCCACGACGAGAGGGCTTCAGGAGAGAGAGAGTTCGTGTCGTTTTTTCCTCCTCCGTTGAAGGATCGCAGACCACAGTGGGTTTACTGTGCGGGCCAACGTTTCGGTTGCATGGCCACAGGCGCACTCCTGTGACTTCTGCCTTTAATTTTCATTTCATGAAGGATATGGTGTACATCGTTTGACGCACTCACTGATACATACGCACGCACTAACTCCCTGCACTCTACACATGCACTACACATGCTCCTTAGTACCTACTCAGCCACTCATTCCCATACACATTCGCTCACAATGGGGCGCGCACACGTACATGCCCACGCGCATGATACATGTTTACAAATATTCCTCGAGTAAAGTTTTCTTTCAGACCGTCGATGCAAGCTTTGTTGGCGAGCACCTATTAAGGCTGGAATTGCACGGAAAATGTTGTAACATACAACAGCCGCCATTCGCCAATATAGGTAGGTGGTAGTGGTGACGCCTCCATGGACGGCGCTTATGCCAGGCTAGTTGCACTTCGAGGCCACGTGGAGGGTCTAAAACTCGTTGGGAGGTCACGAGATGGCCCAATGTGTTACGCGTGAACCGACTGCGACGATTGTCAGATGCACCGCACGCGCCCTGCACCGTGTGCTAGCCACCTCGCTGTGCTGTATCCGCCCACCGCTCCCCTACGCTCCTCCGTTGGTGCCGAGGGCGGCTTTCCTCCAGAGTCGCGTCCTTCGCGAGCGTTCCCCGAGCACCCCCCACCCCCGTGCGCACAGCCACGCTCACGGTCACGCGAGCATCACCGCAGCAACCGGCGGCGATCGCAGCTGTCGCTCTGCAGGAGGGCGCGCGTCGACTCCGTGGGGTCGTCTTGGCCAACATCGGTGACGATTTTCTGAACCGGGCTTGGACCTCCCCTAGGTCGACTCGGCCTTAAAACAACTACCTGGTGCGGTGTGTAAACATCAGCGCTGGGCGTGGTGCTGGCCACCCATTACCTCGTGTGCCGTTTCGGCCTTAATAGGTGCTCTCTAACAGCCCTAACGTTCTGTTAAAATGTCCTTTTTCTCCCGTGGCGCTTTGTGGTTTGTGATTGTTATTAGGGTGGCGCTAGACAAACGATGATGGTGATGCTTTGCAAATCTACTAAACGCATACGCTGTACTCACACATGGGTGCACAAAGACACACGCACACCTGCATGTCCACACAACCATTCAGTCACACACATAGGCACATGCAGAGGAGGTGTGATTGCTGCAAGGTGTAGTCGGGAGTTGACAGTCCTGAGTCCCACCATCCCGGACACTTGGTTTCGAAAGGCCAACACGAAGCCAAAAAAACACTAATCATTGACATTTCCCAAACATCCCAATGCATGACCCTTCTGGGGAAAACACACACTTTTAAGACTCTGTGAGGCTTTCCTAGCAAAACCCTTGCCTTTATTATTACTCACACTATACGCAAAGTGTGTGCTTGTGCATGCAAGCACACATTCAAGCACTCTGCTGCGTACAAAGATCTCTCTGTCGCTAAGTGCTGTGGGCAGGAATCTGTGGAGCAAGGAGGAGCTCAGGATGTGTTCTGAGAGCACTCACCACTAATGTTAGCTGGGACTGGAAATCCAAACCCGATGCCCTGGTTTGACGAAGACAAAGATCCCCTGGATAGCCTCCAACAGACTGTTGGGGCAAGTCTTGTTCGTGAAGATTGGGACGGCACACGATGAGGTTGGTGGCCAATACCACGCTGGGCCGCCTTTGTCTCCCCAGTGGCGATGTTTACACATCGCAGCAGGTACTCATCTCAGGCTGAGTTGATCTAAGGGAAGGCCCAGGAACCGTTAAAATTGTCGCCACTGTTCGTGTTCGTGAGCGGGAATCGAACGCTGGTGGCCGAATTCGTAGCGCAGTGCGCTAAGCACTACACTGCCGCTTCCCACTAGTGTGTGTGTGTATATAAACACACACAACGCTAAATCCGCTTATTTCTAAGCTGTATTCTCTAAGCTCTGGATCCCTCCCCCTCTGCAATCATTCAATTGCTTTTCTCCACTCTCCCTCGCTCACTGGTTTTACAAGTGTCCTGTATGACAGTCACCCTAAACCCTCCCGGCATGGCTAGCACTGTTAGGAGACGTCGAGTGGCTTTGTGTGGGCAGGGCGCGATGAATCCGGCTCGTGTGCAAGGTACTAGGGGGGATTGTTACATCCCAGAACCTTGGGAGATGACGATTGGCTTGGGGAGGTTTTCATCCAGCAGTGAATTGATAATATCGGATAAGGATTTTAATGATGATTCATCTTATTTTACCAACTCACTCTGTCTTACACTCCCTCTTGTTGTGTTTCTATCCGAGCTCTGTTCGTTTGGTTTCCATGCATCCCCGCCCCCACCTACACCCCCCCCCATCTCACTCACTCCCTCTCTCACTTTACCTCCCCGGGTCTCGTATACAAAAGCCTCCTCTCTCCCCGTACATACCTCGCATCAAAGACAAAGACCCCACGTATAGCTTTAACAGACTTGGGGCAAGTGCTGTTAGCGAGTAGCACCTCTGAAGGCCGATCCGGTACACGAGTGGGTGGCGATGTTTACACACCGCACTAGTTACTCATTTGAGGCTGAGTCGACCTAGGGGAGTCCCAGGCCCGCTTCAGATAACCGTCACTGGTATTGTTGACCGTGAGCAGCAATCGAACTCGTGTGGGCGGGTTTGTAGCGCGGCACGCTAACCACTACACTGCCGCTACCCACACCTGCCACTGTCACCACCACCACCATGGTACACTGCGACCCCTTCAAAACTCATCCCCTCCTCGCCTCGCCCTGGGCGCTGTGGCATGGCCCAGGGGTAGCGCGTTCGCTGCATGTTGCAAAAGTTCGCGGTATCTGGCTCGGCGGCCGCCCTGGTTATTCCTGCCGGTGTATTTCACCACACAAAAACTACGCGTCGCGTCTGCTCGACAGTGGGCGTCCAAGATCTGTCGACGTCGTTCAACGATAGCAGGCCTTTCCATGTGTGCCGGTACAAATTTGTCTAGTTTGAAAAGAAATCCACCGCAGGTTACTTCATTGGGATTACACACGGCAGCAAACATGACCCCCACACCGACTGAAGACTCGTGCCCGATTGCGGGTCACCTTGTGACACACAAGGATGGCTGCCACTGGGGGTGCCCTTTCGAATATTTGAGATGCGATGTGATCCAAGTCAAGCGCGAAGCGTTTTAAGAGGTCGCGGATCGAACAAACACAACTGCTTATCATTTGGCCCTAATATATAATTTGTGTACAGCGTTGTGGGATGCAATTAGCATGAATGACTCTATAGAAAAATAAATTATTATCATCATCACCATTATTTTAGACGTGGGATACAAACATAAAACGGACAGGCGTTACGTGCAGGTATCGAGACACGATGCACAACACAGAGACAGCTGCCACGGGGGGGGGCTCCCTTGGCTGCACTTTCGCAGAGCGTTCAATTGGTTGAGATGGAATGTGATGTAAGGAGCTTACAGTTGCCAAGGCATTTACGCAAGCGCCACTAAATATGTATTTTATAATATCTTTTACATATTTTTAATTTTCTCATTTTTATTATTTTGTGTATCTCTCAAATATTAATTATTGAATGTTATGTTAACATGTGAGGCGCTCTGTGACGATGTTATTCTGAAGGGTGCTAAATAAAATGAAGTTTGATAACAAATGATAATTTGTATGCGTAACGTCATGAACTGATGTTGAAAGAGGCAGCGCAGTACACTGTGGACGCATATACCCTGGAGTCAGCCTAAAGCAGACTCAAGTAGGGGTGGGGAGGGAGTCGATACCACACGTGGCTGGGGCAAGGGAGCTCTAGACAGTGTGGCCAACATGGCAGAATAAGCGACATCCCATACTGACACGGACAATAATGTAATCACACCGCAAGTACAAATAATCGATGCCTCGAGTTTCCTGGCTGGCTGCTGTCTGGGCTCCTCTCCACCCCAACAATAACTACGTTGTTGTTGTTAGAGACTGCTGTGGGCCGTTGCCACCGAAACTATCTGGGTAACTGGCTACACGGGATTTTACGTGTAACAAATATGAACATTTAGTTGCATTGAAACGGCGGAACAAGAAGTTCGGAAGATATTAATAATAATAACACCAAATAGCGACACCGACGAAAGGGTGGAAGTAACGAATACAGAAGACAGACCACGGATCATTTAAAATTGCTCCACCGTTCTATTGTGTGTTCCTATTAATGCAATTATTTCGTCAGAATATTTTTTTTTATCCTATAGAATAAAAAAGTAAAGCAACCTCACCAGACATTATCTTGGTATTGTATTACACAACAATCAGATTGCTTTTAGTTCTGCGAGTACAGGAGGATTGTGAGAACAGCAGTAACAACGTCGTCTCTTATTTTCCCTTACAAAGCAACGGGTTATCTACTGGTAATATAACAATAATTTCCAAGCCGTTGTCAATCCACTGCTGGATAACTCCCTCTCCACGCCGTGTTGATCGTGGGGGTTTGTCGAGGGTGGGTGGTGGGTAGTAGGGTGGCATGAATGCATCAGATATCATGCGCCACTAATGTTCAGAATCGGTATTTATACTGGAGGAATCCGATAAGCTATAAAGCTTTTATTTTCACAGATGGCCTGCATTCGAACTCAGGTTGCCGGGTTCAACAACGCAATGCTCTCACCCCGCATAGCCGGCTACAAGGAGATGAAGGCACAGCGGG